AACGAGACCAAACGCGATATTTGTGGATTTTGAGGTTTTATTTTTATTTAGCTGTTTATAAGTCACAGCAGGGTGAGTTTAGGGAAAGAGAACAACACAAAACAAGATCAGTTATTAGTGTATTTAGTTTTTTCTACACTTGATGATGAGGATCAACTAATCTTTTTCCACCCAGTAATGTTTATGGCAAAGCTGAAGATGTAAAAAGCTCAAAATTTTTAACGACAGTTAAAAGATGATAGTATTAAATTCTTTTAATTTATTTCAAAGTCAGAGTATTTCTTATTCTTTCTTAAAGAGGCTGTTTGATTTAGTTTACCCATAAATGTTAATTATAATGCATTAACTATCAAACATGTACTAACATGTAATTAAGCCTGCCGTTATTCATGCGTGAATCCATATGACTCCAGTTGTAGTTAAGGATAGCTCTTCATTAATTCATGATTAGTTAACACCTTTATTAATCATTAGTATTTGATGAATTAAGTATTAATTTAGGCATTAGTACATGACTATTCATGTACCCTTATTGTAAAGTGTTACAAATACTTCTATATACATCTATAACTTTTACAGTTTAAAACATGGAAAGTCAAGACCCTGCTGTTGTTGAGGCAGTAAAGGCATCAGGCGAGTCCACCCTGGAAAAGGCCACAGCAAAAGCTAAAGAAACATTTGACCAGTTAATGAATGTCTCACTTAACATTGCTGTGACCGGAAAGACAGGATCTGGGAAATCCTCCTTTATAAATGCACTTAGAGGTCTAAATGATGAAGATGATGGAGCAGCACCTACTGGAGTCACAGAAACTACAATGGAGCCCACCACATGGAAAGTCAAGACCCTGCTGTTGTTGAGGCAGTAAAAGCATCAGGCGAGTCCACCCTGGAAAAGGCCACAGCAAAAGCTAAAGAAACATTTGACCAGTTAATGAATGTCTCACTTAACATTGCTGTGACCGGAAAGACAGGATCTGGGAAATCCTCCTTTATAAATGCACTTAGAGGTCTAAATGATGAAGATGATGGAGCAGCACCTACTGGAGTCACAGAAACTACAATGGAGCCCACCATGTATGAGCATGCTGCAGTGCCAAATGTGAAAATCTGGGACCTGCCTGGAATAGGGAGTCCAAACTTCAAAGCAAATAAATACCTGAAAGATGTCAAGTTTCACACCTATGATTTCTTCATTATTTTAAACTCAGAGAGGTTCATGGAGAATGATGTCATGTTGGCTAAAGAAATAAAAAAACAGAATAAAAACTTTTACTTTGTTCGTTCCAAGATTGAGAATGACATTTTAGCAGCGCAAAGAAAAAA